GGGGCCTCGCCCAGGCCCTGTCCCCCTGCCTGGCTTCAGTGCGGCAGCCTGTGCTAGGTGCCCATGGATGCTCTCCCGCCCCACCCCACCTGCAACTTCCGGCATTCCCGGGAAGGCCCCTGCCTGGGTGTGCCGTGACCCCGCACCCAGCGTGTCTGTCCCCTGGTGTAGGCCTCTGAGGACAGTGGGCATTCGCAGGATGAGCATACTGCCTGGGTGTGAGGGGGCCCAGCACCCTTGGGTCCTGCCAGGCACAGGCGGCCCTCAGGATCTGGGCGTGCGGTATGCAGGGCCGCCTCTTTCTGGCCGTGCTCATGGGCCCCGAGGTGCTGTCGGCTGGGGCTCTGCCGGCTTCCAGCCCACCCGTCTTCCATCTGTCCAGCCATCCGTCCGTCGCCTGTCTCCCCCTTGCGGTCGTAGCCACCTCACCTGCTGTCCCTCTGTCTCTTTGGTCTTGCAGTGGGCTTCTCTCTGTGCAAAGGCTGCTTTTAGAAGCACAGTCCCGTTAGGAGCCTCGAAGGTACCCGTGCGCGGGACAGTGTAGCCGCTGCCCCCTGCATGCCAGGCCCCATTAGCATCCATGACTCCTGTGGCATTTGGGGACGGTCAGCTCATGTGACGCGGGTCCTTCGGGCCATCCTCAGCCGAGCAGCATTTACGAGGCAGATCCAGGACTCAGCGAGCACCTCCTCCTCTGAGATGTCCTCCCCCCTGCTGCCCTCACCCTCTGACTTGCCCACCCTGCTGATCCCTTCCTCTGACTGAGCTCCAGCCCCCTCCGTACCCGCTCCTCCCCCGCCGGCCCTCACTGTGTCCCCGGCCCCCACGCTGTCGCTTATCACTCCCGTGTCCCTCCTGTGTGTGCGACTGTGCCCAGGGCCTGAGAGGGGAATGTCAGGGCCAGAGCTCCAAGCCCGAATCCTGGATCTTCTTCTAAATGGCTTCCTAGCCACTCGGATCAAATTGCTCTAGATTTGGGGTCTTGAATCAGGAAGCTGATTCAAGTGCTAGCCATCATAACGCATCTGCCCGGAAGTGCCTGCCAGGCCCTGGGTCGCTCTGTGCACGAGCACGGCTCGTCATGGGGGCACGCCGAGTGTTGGCGGGATCTCTTGGGGGGGGGCGGAGGAGAAGCCTGGCATGTGAGGATCCTCCTGGCCTCGGTACACTGGGGGCACAGCTGCCCAGCCCTCGCAAGCTGACTGAGGACCATGGCTCTCCTCAGGTGCGAAGGCTGTGGGGGAGACCTGTGCAGGGACCTCTGGGCCCCACTGTGCAGGTCGGCGTGGCGAGCGGGAGCCTGAGCCCCTGTGGGCAGGGCTTCAGGAGAGCCAGTCAGCTGTGGGTCCCGGGGGCTCACAAGAGCAGAGCAGGGCAAGGAAGCGCCGGAAAAGCCTGTCTGGGGGAGTTCAGGAAGGCTTCCCGGAAGAAGTGGTACCTCCCAAGGGCAGGACGGGTTGTGGGAGCACAGGCCTCAGGCCGCCTGGCTGCACTTGCTTCTGTGCGGGCTGGTGCCAAGGGTGGGAAATGCCCCCAGGGTGAGGTGGGCTCCCGGCGTCCCCCTGTGTCTCTCTCCATGCCAGCACCGAGGGCTCCTCTGCCAGCGGGCCCTGCCAAGGCCGGGCAGTGGCGCCCCGACAGGTGCAGGGGTGGCGGGCCAAAGCAGAGGCCTGTCTGTCCTCAGGGGGGTAGGGCGATCTCCCCAGTCCCACGGCCTTGCCTGCCCTGCAGAATGGGGGGCGGGTCTGCGAGGGAAGGTTGGTGTGGGCTGTCCCTGCTTGTCTGTAGCTGCCCACGGTCCCCGGCAGAGCCGCCTTGGGGCCCTGCTCCCGATGGCCCGTGGGGACACGCACCACAGCTGGCTGGCCCATCGCACCCATGCGCTCCCTGTGGCACCAGGGCTGGGCTGGGGTCCCGGGCACTGGCTATGAGGCTCCTTCTCTTGCAGGTCAAGCAGGCTCTGGGCCTAAAAGGCCTCTTCCTCCGAGGCCCAAAGCCTGGCTCACTGGACAGTCATGCTGCTGGGCGGGCCCCACCCCGGCCTTCCGTTAGCCAGCGGCTGCTGCGGCGCACGGCCAGTGCCCCGACCAAGAGCCAGAAGCTGGGCTGCAAGGGCTTCCCGGAGCTGGTCCTGGGCTCACAGGACGCGGGCTCTGAGGGGGCAGCCGACGACGTGGCGCCCCCCAGCCCCGGCCCCGCTCCGGAGGCCCTGGCCCACGAAGGCACTGGTGGCAGCAGCCCCCGAGGTAAGGCACTGGCGGCAGCGGCAGAGAGGAGCCTGGCGCGGGCACGGCCCCCGCGTGCCCCCGAGGGTCCTGGGCCTGCCGGGATGGCCGCCACGTGCATGAAGTGTGTGGTGGGCTCCTGCAGCGGCGTGGACACCGAGGGCCTGCAGAGGGAGCGGCTGCCCAGTCCAGCGCCTGCAGGCAGGCCCACTGCCATTAGCCAGCAGCCCCGGGCTTGGGCCAACTCGCCCGGGGCCTCCCGCTGTGGCCCGGATCCCCAGGCCTCCTCAGGGAGAAGTAGAGGGGCACCCAGGGGCCCTGGGGCCCGGCAGCAGGGTCCAGGTGGCAGTGGCTCCTTGTTCTCGGACTCCAGCAGCCCCGACAGCCCGGGCAGCCCCGAGGGTGCCCCTAGGCCGCCGGGGGCCCTGCAGGGAGAGATGAATGCCTTGTTCGTTCAAAACCTGGAGGACACCCGGAGCGAATCCCCCATGTTCTCTGCCGGTAAGCCCGTGCCCTGCCCGAGCCATCCTCCTGCCGCCTGGCACTGCTGGGCCGGGCGTGCCAGCCGCTGCTCCCTCGTTACTGCCTGTCGCCTCACGTGCTCATGGCTGTGTCTCTGTGTCACTGCCCTGGTGGCTTGTCCCACGGCGATGGGCCTGGACTGTCCACCTGTCTCTGAGGCCCTGGGGCACTGGGAGGGCCAGGACACGTCGAGTTGATGCCCTGAGAGGTGGCAAGTGCTTACTGGGCCCAGAGCCTGATGTGAGGCCCCGACGCCAGGCCCCTCCTGCTGGCTTCTGAAAGGAGCCCTGAGAAGGGCCTCCCACTGAGTCCGAGTGCACCTCCCGGGCCAACGGGGCCAGGGCTGCTTCCCACCCACCCACCTCCCTCCTGGGCCAGGTTTCCTGCTGGGCAGTCCGACGGGGACCGGGGCACAGCGGCAGGGCGCCCCAAGCCCTGGAATGCCTGGACAGGGCTGACCAGTGGGTCCCGGCCCTGGGACATGTGTCTGGCTGACCCATGGGCAGCTCCACTCAGGGCCCCAGGTGGGCATCCACCTATGATCCTGGAAGGAAGGGATATGTCTACCTGCTCTGTGCCCCCTGCCAAGTGTCCTGTGTCCACGTGTCTCTACCCGCGTGTGCATCCACATGTCCCTTGGTCCATGTGCCAGCCCACACTGACTGTGCTCTCTTTCTGTCCATGTCCCCACGCTGCCTCTGTAGTTAGGAACTGAGCCACGAGTGACAGGTAACGGGGCCCAGCCCCCGTGTGCCCTGTGCCATCCCAGCCCCAGGAGGGCCCCATGTGGGCCCCGGAGCAGCCCAGCCCGCGACTCCTCAGCCTCAGTGGCCGCAGGGCGGGGGCACTGAGGGCACCGTGTGGGAAGTTTGGATGGAAGAGCTGGCCATGGGAGGCCCTGGGGGGGGCGGGGCTGTCGTCCCCAGCACAGGGGCCCCGGGACGTCCCCTGACACGGCTCTCCTCTCTCTCCGTCTACGTCACTCCAATCCTCTCCCACTGTTCTCCCCT